GCCCCCCCCCCCCCCCCCCCCCCCCGCCCGCTTCGCTTGTCGTCACATACGCGGACACGCCCCCATGCCACATAGCCGGAAGTGAGAACCGTTGGTTCTACCCTTCCGCCGTCGTCGTCGTTGCGAGGCAAAAAACTGCCGTCTTTTTCACGCCGAAGAGTTCTTCCTCTTGGCAACGTTGAGGGCGCTGTTGGGGTCCCACGAGTGCTCCAGGAAGGAGATGAGGCGCTGCGCCACCGTGAAGGAAAAGATGAGCTTCGGTCCCACCACGATGATCTTCGGCGTCTGTTTTCGTCATTCAGTCGCGATACACCATCCATACCGCCCCACGGTATTAGTTGTTAGTTGTTTTAGGGAGTCGTCGGTGTGTTTTGGTGCACGACCCGACACGACGAAACCGAAGTATGACTTTCAAGGAAGGGAGGCGCCGTGTGTGGAAGATCGGATGGAAATGGGGGTGTAACTGTGATAAATTGGCCATGAGAATAGGTGCGCAGCCAAGAATGCTGCACTAAAGAACACTCCGCAGAGATACTAGAACGCGCGGTTGGGCGTTGGGCGTCACTGAACCAGTTACAGCGGTAACGGCAGCAAGACGCAGCAGCGAGAAGGCCGAGACCACAATCGATCACACCACCGCAAACGACGAACATTTGTGTTCCACCCCCCGCTGCCTTTTGAGTTTTCGGTTTTCACTTGCGGCTAAGAACGCCGAAAAAAACTGCCGTGACATGGAGGGAAACTATGATCTATTCCAAGAACGGCAAGAAGCGCAACGTAGATTCGATAAATATATTTGAACAAACGTCGTAGGGTGTTTGGGACCCAAAACAAGAACGAAGCGCGGCTGTGATAGGATGCCGTGCTCCGCGAGTTGTGCGCGATGTATGATCTATGGAGGGGGGGTGAAGCATCCATGCCACAAGCGTCTGCAAAAGCTGTGTACAGCCAAAGCCACCGCTGTCATAAAAAAAAAAAAGTTGTTGAATACCATTTTCCTATCTAACCTGAGTAATGCTCCGGTAGGGAGGTCACCTAATCTTTTTACCTACTGGCCGCGTCCTCATACGATCACTGAAACAGGACTACACGTTTTCTCCCGCAAGTGTTAAATGTTTGCGGACAAACAAGTAATAATCTAGAACCGTCATTTGCCTGCCATTTGCGAAGGGGGACGTATATTCATATCACCCCCGTTCCACCGTAGCACGGCGCTTCGCGCTTGGTGATGTGAGAGCCTGGTCCGGTGAGAACCCGGCGTGCTCAGTCCCGGCTTTGTAGGGATGCGAGGCCAATGGTCTAACGACTACGGCATGCACGACTATGAGTACCCCCTTCTACGGTAGCATCAATCGCCTGCCGCGGCGCACCTGCTGCTAAATATCAAACTTACCAATCCCTTGAAGAAGGCGCCAGGGCCCTCGGTCGCCAGGAGCTTGCGTACGATAGCCATCCCGCTCTCGGGCGAATCGAACGGGCGGTTCTGGACTCGAACCTTGATCACGTCGAGCGGGGCTGCGACGGTGATGCTGTTCGTTACATCGGAACACACAGGCACAAACAACATCGGCATCGAGTGAAGCCATGACCAGCACGAAGGGGGAGAGGGGGAGATATCATACAGGCGAATCTGTGTCAAATAGGGTACGTAGTGTCTTCGAGGCACGGGCGGGCGGTGTTTGGGATTGCAAGTACGAAAAATCGTCCGTTTCCATGTATAAGTCGGTCCCATGCAAACGGCGAGAGAGCAAAAAAAGCGGCTGACCAACGGCTCGCGGCGCAATCACAGTCGGCCATAACAACGATAATCCGGTCATCATCTCAGGAGACATCATTTCATGTCCATTGTACATGTACGGTGAAATCCCCGTGCGCTCAGTTCCGTCCCTCTACCCCTCGCCCACCACCCTGCTGACAGCCATCGGAACAGCAATGAACAAAACGACATTTTGTTTTCGACGGAAATTTCTCTGACCCATCAGAAAACTGCGTGCCGCGAGATCTCTCCCCTTTCCTGGTCCCCTCAGGGCGTCCCCAATCCCCCTCCCCCCGCGATTTTCCTGACCCTATTCACCGCACCTACATCCCCGCAAGCGACAGCAAAACAACCAAGCCCCGACTCTCGCGCATACATCGAGAGCCTCCCGCCTTTCTCCCAACCCCGACCGACCGCGCCAGCAACAACAACAACACAACCAAGCCCCGACGACTCTCGCATACCACCTCGAAAGCCTGGCGCCTTTTCCTGACCCCAACCGACCGCGCCAACAACACCGCCCGGCAACAAAAACAAAAACAACCAAGGTCCCACGACGCACATACCTCGAAACCGCGCCGGCGATGGAGGCGCAGAAGGTCTGGAACAGGGTCGCGTCTCCGGGGCGCTCGAGCTTGAACACGTATTCCTTCATCACCGAGGCGCCGCCGAACAGCGCGAACGATCCCGGAGCGTTCCGCGCGGCGGTCCAGCCGGCTCCGCGGTAGAGGCCCCTGCCTTCCTTTGCGAAGATGTCCACCACCCCGCGGCCGGCCAGGCTCTCCGGGTTGGTCTGCGCCTTGATCTTGAGGACGTCTAGCGGGAGGAGCGCGATCTGGTGTGGATTTTTTTTTACCCAGAGTTAAGATTGCGGTATAAGAGGCGGGGGTGAGGGGGGGGGAGGGGGGTATTCAGGATTGTGCCCCCGCTTGACTGGATGCGTCAGGCACGCTCTCTTCTTAGTGGCGCATGAGTTGAGACATCCGTAGGTTGCACCCCCGAGAGGTACTGCCAGGCGGGTTTTTCGGTGTGCAGCAGGGGCTGGTCTGAGCCGCCGCCGCACCAGCACTCTACTATCTTCCATCCATCGCCATTCTCATTTTCTTGCCAAAATTACGACTGCGTGGGAGTCAAATACCGTGACGAGATCCTTGTAATGACCTAGAAAACAGAGGGTGAACACACGACATCTGCTTTACTGCAGGGTGCACCATCGCCCCTCCCGCACAGCCACGTTCCACAGCACGGTAGCATCAGCAGCAGCAGCATCAGCAGCAGCAGCAGCAACACTTCGACAACAACCCGACAGCAAGATTGTGGGTCGACACCATGTCGTCGATCTTGAACGCTACGCTACTGCCGCTACTGCTGCATATGTGTCACGTGCCCACCGTCCGTGTTCACCGACGTACGTACACCAGACAAATATCCAGCCCCACGCCCTACAAGCAGTGCTGCTGTTTCCGGCTACTACCAGCCGTACTACCGCCAGCGTCTAGTAGCCGAAATCAAACCATTGGACTTCTCAGCGAGGGTTTCAAGAAAAAAACAACACCTCAAGCCGGGGTTACGAACCCCAGGACTAAGGTACAGAGGTGTCGGAACCAAAACAACAAGACTAGTCAGCGCTGACTGGCCTAATAGTTTGATTTCGGCATGCATAAAAGCCGCAGGTGTCGTTGTCCACCTCTCTCTTTTGTCTCGGGAGCGCCTAAGCGACGGAGCACGCCGATTTCTCTTAACCGTACCTCCCCTACTCCGATGATGCTCCCAGCAGTGGCCTCCATCATGGACTTGGCCCGTCGCTGGCCGAAAGCTCTCTCGAAGCGCTCGGAGTGGTTTCTCGTCATGTAGTCCCGTACGAATGGCTGGGTCCCGATTGATTTTAAGCGCGGCCGGAAGGGACAGCAGTGGCAGGGTATACATGCGGGGAGGAAAGTATACGCTCGGCTTGGTGCAGTTGCAGAAGACATGCCAGCCATGTACGAGCAAAACAGTATGCTGATACATGCTTATCAGTTGGATATAAAAAAATGGAACGTGAAAAACACCGAAGATTTCCCCCTAGACGCAGCAGGAACTGCAGGAGCAAGCAGCAGGAGTAAGCAGCGGCAGCGGCAGCAGCATTGTTCGTGCTTTGAGAGGGTCTCGCTGCGGTTACCTGCTCACCTGCCCCCCAAACTTATAGACCCGCTGGAGAATCTTGTACCCGGCTCCGAACCCAAGCCCGGGGAAAAGGCTCAGGTACTTGCGCACCGTGCCCATCTGCGAGGTCTCCTTGAAGATAACCTGGCGTGGCAGCGGCGGCAGCAGCGTGTGAGAAAATGCGCCGACCGGAGCGTGCATCGCCCTCTGTATATATGGAAACCCGCGGCGTGGATGAGCATACCGTTTTGTCGTGAGTTCTTCCTTCCGAATACAACAACGGGCGGGCGGCGTGTACAGGCCGTGCGTAAAGAGAAGCAAGAGCGCGCCCTTCTTGCTTAAAACCACCGTAGGGATGTCGAAGGCTCGGTGGTTGTGCCCTGTGGTCCAGTTGTATTCCACCACAGAATACAGCCCGGTTCATACATACATAAATTTACGGAAGGTCAAACCGACAACCAGGCCGCACGTTTCGGGCACCAGTGACAGTGAAAAAATGCACCATTGCATGGTTTTAACAGCCGTAACTACTTCATTATAGGCTGTTGTGTCGTTCCATCATGCTCCTTTCATCAAACGCCCGAAAATTACCAGCATTTTTTGACGAACTTTTTAGATCTTGCTGGAAAGTATATACACTTCGAAGTATGTAACATGAGACACACGGAATAGGAAGAACGCAAAAAAGAACTATTGTTCCAGCAGTGCAATACATCCGTAATTGGGGGTTTGTGGCTGGTGTTCCTGGTGCCGGTGGTAGCGCGGGAGCTGGGAGAACAAGGCAAAGAGACCTACAGCAGTACAATATTGTAACGGCAATCCAGTTGTACAGCGGCAACGCCGGTTGTGAACAACACGGCAAGTAACTGCTGTTGCGTCCTTGCAGCGAAGGAGTAGCGACTGTAGTTCTTCGTCCGACATGCTGTTCGCTAACGCTCGAGATTGACGTAGTTGGTGGTACGCTTCAACGTGCGGATCAACAACGTCGTTGTTGACGTTGACCACCAAGTTGATGTTGCACTACTCGTGTAGCAGTCCTGCTCTATTCGTGGCATGTAAGACAAAAAGGTGCATGGTAGTCACTTTCCTCCAACTTTGACCTTGGCATTTACACCACACCCCGACTGCATATGCAGCCATCACACAGATGGGGATGGCCGCCATCTCTCCGTGTGGTATCTCAATACCGGTGTACAGCAGTAGGTTGAAAACATGAATGTGTGATGTTGGAACGTTTGAGCATTGCACGTTGGGACGTTCGGACCTCAGGCGAGAATCGAGATTTGCGTGGTCGGCAGATTTTTTGTGCGGAGTTTTACAATGTTGGCAGAAAAAGTACCAAGCGAAAGCAACGACGAGAGCTACGGCTGGGTACCTACGACAACGTGGACGAGCTACTGTGGACATTGACGCCTGAAAACCAATCTCTGCTGATGTGCCGGCGCAGTCGCGCACGCGAAGCGACGAAGAAGTTCCCAACAACAACAGCAGAAAAATCACCACTCAAAAAGCTCTAAGATAAACCGAGCGTGATGGGGTGCGTGCTTGCTCCGACTTGTGCTCTGCGACTGAGGGCAGCGGGAAGCGGTAACCCCACTTGAACGAGCTCTTCTTCATTGGCGTACCTTGTTTAGCGCCTCCATGGCTTGTGCTACAGGCTGCCCCGTGACGGCGACAGTTTGATTTGACATCAGGCGCTTGGCGACCGTGTCGACAGGGTGAAAAAGCAGCAGCTCAGACACCCCAGCCGTCGCGGATCCCAGCACACGGGCATAGGAATTTCGTTGAGGCCCATCACCAGTCGTGCTTTTTGGTGGGTCCATCGTCGCTTATTGCTCGGGTCTACTCTCAATCGTCGCTTATTGCTCTGTTCTTGCCTCTTGGCAGGCGGTTGTGGTGGGAACGAGAGAGAGACCAGACAGAGAGTCAGCGAACGATTGAGAGAGAAATAAATGCCTCCCCCCCGATCGCGGCGAGCAGCGTACCCCCTTATTTTTTAAAGCAGCTGGTCCGTCCCCCCAATGAAAATGCTCAATCAGAGGCACACGCCTTATCCAGCCAAATCATAAGCATACGTGACACCCAAGTTTTTTCAGGAAGTCAGGGCTCGCGTACACATACAGACGACGCCACGCACCACGGCGCGAGCCCCGTGAAGCGTGAAGCGGGAACTTTGAAACCGAACCGATTTTCCCCAACAGGCACCGTTTCCGCCGCAGCCTCGCAAGGCAATGTTCATGTCCTCTCATGGGATCCTTTGCTTGCGCAGCGAGAGCGAGAGAGAGGGAGGGAGAGATACGGTAGTCGTCTGTGATCCTCAATGAGGATCGGGATATTACTCGATGACGATCCTCCGTCTGCACTTCCAAGTTACGGGACACAAGCAACCCATCATAGCTGTTGGAGCTCATGGAGACCACATTGCAACGGCCGAGCACGGCGCCGTTCGCTTGTGGTCCTTCGGAGCCTCACGTGCGGCGGCGGGAGGACCTTCTCTGGTGCAAGGGTTCCCGTGCTCCCGGCAACCGTTGCGGGCGCTGTTCATGCTCCCGGGGCGTGGTGTTGGAGGTGACAGCTACTACGTGGTCGGAGTTTTCGAGGTGGACGGCGTGGTGCTGTTTGACGCGCGCGGCGGCGGCGTGGTGCACCGCCATGTGCTCCTGCACCTTGGAAAGAAAAGGTGAGGGGTGACTTGCACTCCTTCTGCATCCACTGAATCGAATTGTAATCATAGTTGGTGCGGCACGCACGACGAGGATGCTGTTTTTCATACACAATGCACCTGTGCACTCCGTCCATACTGTAGACCACGAGTGTGTTATGTATTACCTCCCGTGGTGGCACATGATTCCTTCTCAGTTTCTCGCGGCAAGTACAAGTACGGCTTTCAGTAGTTGGGGGAAGAGGCCACACTTTCGGCTGTCGCAACTCAAGCGTGCACGTCTGTTACTTCACGTTTTTCACCAGCTACACGGTGAACACTTGCTAAGATCGTCAGATACCAAGAGGGCGGTCTCTAATCTAACCACGGTCTTCGTGAGGAATACAAGCAAGCAAGCAAGGGGCTGCAGGCGGGAGGGGTTCAACCTTTAGTCTACATATGATTATTGCATAGGTGATTATATGTGATCAAAGAAGATCACCAGCCTTGGTTGGGGGATGGGCTTGCAGTTCCGTACTTTCGCGCGCACTGCACGTCATTCAAACGTCGCCGAACGTCTCGCTGTGTCCCGGTGTGCCCCCACTTCCCAAAGAGATAAAAAAATCCTGACAGCGGCATGGAACGCGGACACTTGCTCGCTGGCGATAGCGACCGCAGCTGGCGGTGTCAAGATTTACGGGATCTTGCCAACCCCCCCGCCGGTACTATCGAGTGGTAGTGGTAGTGGAAGCGGCATTGGTAGTGGTAGCACCACCCGGGGCGCCATCGTCGTCGTTCCAGGAGAGAAAGAGAGACAGCAGCATCCCGACTCCGCTACTGCTGCATCTGCTACGATTTCACCACCGACACGGCCAGCGACTGCGGTACTACGACACGAAATCGTCATCAATACAGTATCGATGACCGTGGGCGGCGGCAGAAAGCGTGTAAACAGGCAGGTGAGCTCGCTTGCGACATCATCCGACGGGGTTTCGTGGGAAGACTTCGGCGGCGAAGGCCGTGACAATGAATGCGGAGGGGCACGCAGCAGGGTGGCGGCCGCCGCGGGCGCCGGCATTCTTGTGGGAGTTGCCGAGGGCCAGCACCTCTGCGTTTGGGACCTCGCGACAGGCTCGACCCTCCTCACTGCCCTCTCCATAGCACCGAGGGGCTGCACGGTCGAGAAAGTGCTGTGGCACGGGCCGACGGCGCTGGTGGCGCTGCTGTATCACGACGGGATAGGGGTGTCGAGGGTCGACGTACACCAGGTCGACGTTGGGAGGAGGGTTACGATACCGGTGCGTGGAATTTCATGCTTTTGTTGCAACGCGACACGGTTGCAGGGTTATAAATCGAGGTCAATTGTTGAAACCTACACGGACGTAGGTACTTACCTGACGTCCAGCCATTCCTAGGAGAATCATGATGATGTCGTATCGGTTGCTATTTCCGTACAGAGAGACTATAAAGTGTGGCGAGCTGCAGCATTGGGTCCTTCTCTTTGTCGTTGTTCGAATTTATGTTCATTTCGACTCCCGCACGGATCAGGGGCTGGATATCGTTCCTTTTGGAATTCTCAACAGTACCCTCTGCACCTCTGTTCAACTGTACGTCGATTGCTCCCGGCCAAACTGTGGCCCCGCCTGTTCCTTTGTTTCTAGCTTCTTTCGTACATGTCTGACGTGCTTGTCGCCGGAGCTAGCTTTTCCGCGGGTCCATCAGACCGGGCGGCGAATGCCCAAGTTCCGCCGTCGGGAACAACGCCATGGGACGACGACAACAACCTGTCTGATCCCGCAACTTCCATGGATTGCAGCTACGCTTCAACCTACTTGCATGTCGTTGACCGCCTGCGCACGCTACGCACGTGGCTCTTGCACCCCGGCGGGTCCACCGCTGTGGCGGCGTACACGCTCCCCGCCGCGGCGCCACGCGTCCCAAAGGAACCCACTCTTCCGCCTGAAGCTGAGCGTACCGCACAGCGACGACAACTTCGCACCGGTGAAGGCGAGACGGATTCTGCGTCGCCGCCGGGCCCCACGGTTGGGCCCGAGTCGTCCTTTTCCGACACCAAAGGGTCGTCGTTGTCACCCCCTCATGGCAGCGGCGGTGGAGGCGACGGTGCCCCCTACGATACTGGACAACAGAGAAACACAACTCACCCGGAACTGAGGCACAAGGGAAGGCCGGCTGAAACTCAAGCTGTCAACGGTGGCGATATTTTCGGGGAGGAGGTTGAGGAGGAGGAGGTCGAGCAGGAGGAGGCCGTAGACCCGCGAAAGTTGCCGTCAGGGGCTCTGATCGCAGCAGTCATCCCTAGTCGCTCGCGATGCCCAGACGTCGCCGTTGGTCCCGGACTGCTAGTGGCGGCCGGGGTTGCGCTGTCGGGGGTCAGTTTCCTACCTGAGGATCGAGAGGGTAGGCAGGACCAGAGCCCTATCCTCTGGGAGTCTGGCGAAGAAGAGGCGGGGGTACGCGATGGCAGCATTCAAGAGGGTGGGGGGAACGCGGGGGCACCACCGCGAGTGCTGGGAATGCGAAGCCTTGTGCCTCGACATGGAGCTCTGCAGGCGCTGGCTTTGGTGTGGGCCGAGAGGCCGTCGTTTCAGGTGCTGGACGTGAGCGGTGGCGGGCGGGCTGGAGTCGTTGAGGAGGTCTCGCTCGCACGGAGACATAGGTACGGGTGTATGTTTTTGGTGGAGAGAGGGCTTCTTCGTTGCCAAGATGGGGACTTTTATGTGGATTTCGGGGACACGGAGTCTTCACGGCCTTGTATATTGGCAACCAACTTGTGGAATATCTCCTCTAATTGTCTGGGGTTTTAGATTTTGCGCCACCATGACGACCAAGAACGCGACGACTTGACTGCTTGCAGTGTAGAAGACTTGACGGGGCTGTTGCAGGGAGCCCTTTGATCAGCATACAAATACCAATAAGATATCACGCTCTTTTTTATTGTAGATGGCCTCGGGCTAATGACCGTCGCGAGGGTCGTACGAATGAAGGCGTGGTCTTAAGTGGGGTTTCAGGCCCAGTTGACATTATGGCTCACACATTTGTTTTGTTCCTCACATATCGCCTATTCCACGAAAGACCCGTTTTCATTCTGAAAGTGATGTTCCTAGGACCTACATCGATTTTACGACCTTTCGTCGGAAAAGTAACTCCGTGGATATGTTTGAGTATTTAGGCTGGGCTATATTAAAGCTTCTGCGGGCCAGACTCTTGTCATATTTATTGGCTGAACATCGATGTATACCCCGTCATTCTGGAACGACTCTTTTTCTTTTCCCCGTCTGTGTTATTGTGTGATGAGTTTCACCCTACGTGTGCCTTAAATCAAAAATAACAAAGACGCATTCGCACGTCGAATCGTGAAGCAACCGATTCCGATTGCAAATAAGACGCCTGAACACGGGTAGACTACGCGAGCAATTCACCAATATCGCGTCTGTTGGAGTCTGTCTTCTACCCGTATGTTTCTGTGCGGCGCCGAAGGAGAAGTTCTGGTAAAGGCGTCAAATTGCACCACCGACGATAATCTGGTGATGTAGTGGGCGCTACCACCCGGTCAATATCCTATACTGTGAGCGCTGATTTGAAGTGAAGACAAAAACATACAAAAAGGGGCCCTAGCGAACTGGCTAGCACGAATGGTGCTTGTGGTTGCATTGCAGATCCCCTAAATGACGTTGTAGATCCGCTAAAATACTATCTAATCCATTTTTCTCCCTCTGCGCCAATGCTCGGCGTCGGTGATGTCTTGCGCAGGGCGCCATAGCCGCTTCTACTATTGTCAGAGTTTCCGATATTAGTGACCTAGACGTTCCACCTGTTCAAGTCTTGTGTCGCTCTCTCCTACCCCAAACATCTATGCTATGAACCTTGCTCCTCCCGCGTGTTGGCTTCAGGGAAGATCAAGTAGAGTCGGCTCCGCGAGTGGACCGCCCTTGCTTCATCACGTCGTGGTGTCACAGCACCACCCTGGGGGTCCTCCTCTGCGGGTGGAACGATGGTACGGTGGACGTCATGAACCCACGCACGGCGTCCGTGTCGTTCCGACTCCGGCGGTCGCAGCAGCAGCTCTTGCCGGCGAGGGGCGCGTGCGTCTCGACGACGGCCGTGGGGCTCATCCCCCTGTCTCTGCTCCTCCGGTACGCCGGCAACCAATTCATTTCGGAGGCTGAGTTATCTGGCGGCTCCTTACCGCACGACGATGCAGGCCGCGGCGGCGGCGGGGTTGTCGCGCTCGTTGGCAGCGCCGACGGTACCGTCGCCTTGTGGTCGGCGGGTCGCGCGTCGCGCCGACCGTGGCACGTCATTCTCGCACACACCGATGTGGTCGTTTCCATTCGGACGGCCATGGACGCCCCCCAGGACCCGCTCGAGCGGCTCGGCGGGGTGAAGGAGGCTGCTGCCGCCGATGGCCACGGTAGCGGCCCCGGAAACGCTGTCGGGGAATCTACCTTCTTTGTCGTGACCGCGGGCGCCAACCGGGAGGTGAAAGTTTGGGGCATCGACACCTCACAAAGGCAAGATATGTCTCCTCTCACCCTCGCGGGGTACACCGTTGTCGGCAGTGGCGGAGGCGGTAGTGGTGGTGGGGACGTCGGGCGCCTTACGGCTCTCGAGCTCCTGTCCGAGGGGCACATGGCGTGCGGGTTCGAGTCGGGCGCCGTGGAAGTCTGGACGATCCCGTTCGCCAGCCGCAGCGGGGTCCTCGCATCGACGCGAGAGGCCCTGCAGGCGTTCCCGCTTGCTCACGAGGCGAGGGTAACGTCGATCGTCGTAGCGCTCGGGATGGGCTTCCGTTCGCACAGCGGCGGCGGCGGCGGCGGGGTTAAGGCTGGGCGGGTGATCCTGACCACCTCGGCCGACCGCACCGTGGTGCGCTGGGTGTCCATGGCCCCCGGCGACAACATAAGGCCGCTCCGTCGGTACTGCCTCTCCGTGGAGCCAGCCGCCGCCGTTCTCCTCCCTCCTCCTGTCGATATCGAGCCCGCTCCCGGGACTGCTGGCCGACACGCCGGCGGCCCTTCCCCGCCCAGAAAGTTCGCAAAGGTCGACATCATGGTGGCCGGCTCGGCGGTAGCGGGGTCGACGGCGAGGGTGTCGTCGACGAGGAAGCCAAACACATTCCGGGTCGTGGCCGCGCTAGACGGCGTTGTCGCCGTGCTCGAGTCCGCCACGGTCGAAGCTTTGATGGGGGAGAGCGGCAGCGGCGGTGGCGGCGGCAGACAATCCCGACACCTGTGTCCCGCGGTGGCCAACGCGTTTCCGGGGAAACCTTTGATACCACGGCTCCCGTCTCGCTCCGTCGCGTACGGCGGATCGTCGTCATCGGAGACCACTGCAATACGAGGAGATGGGGCTTACCGTTGGAAGGTGGGCGGCCCAAGGGGTCGCGAGGCCGGACGGTACCACGTCTTCGGCGGAATACAGGGGCCTCTGTTGGGATGGGAGGCTTCCGGCAAGAGAAGAATGGTGCTGACCGCTGCCTCTCGAGATGCTTGGCTGGCGTTGCCCAGAGCGGATGGCGGTGGTGACACGCACGACGACGGCACACACCGGGCCTCCTCCCCAACGAGTGACCTGCGGCCAGAATCATCGAAGCGCGAGCGCAAGAAGATTTCGAGGAGGGGGGGCGTCGGACAACGAATTCCCATGCGACGGGGACCGACACCCGTTAGGCCCAGCGTCAATAATCTCACGGTTTTCCCCCCGCCGGATCCCCAAGAAACAAGCATCAACAGCGACCGCGCCGACCACACTCACGATATCAGCGACAAGCCCCCGCCGCAACACGCATATCGGCAAGTAAGTGGTGGGAAAACGGTAAAGATCGACCCCGAATTCGCCGCCGCTGCCGCCGCCGCCGCCGCGTGGGACCACCTGTTTCTCCAGCAACCGAGCACCGGGGACGGTGCCGTGCTCCCCCAATCGGTAGTAGGGAGCGGTGAGGTAGAGCCTGGGGGGCAGCACATCGCGGGCATGTACTCCCTGGAGCTGGCCGTGCCGAGCCTCTCCCGCAGGCCGAGCGGCGCCCGTCCCAGGGACAGGGACGAACATTTCTCCGCCGTTGCGGGATCTTTCCGGGGGGGTACCACCTCGGGGTCTCCGAACGGCGGCGGCGGTGGCTCCATGTCCTCGGGGTTTAGATATCCACCCGGTTCGACGCTCTCCAATACCAACGAAGACAGCGCCACGCTCGCGTTGGAGGCTTCTGGGTCTGAGCTGCGCGAGGTACGATCGGGGGCGGTAGAGTCGGGCGCGATGTTTGATTATTCGTCTAAGGTAGTGCCCCCGATGGATGGTTGTTTTTCAGGGGAACCGGTGGTGACGGGAGGGAGGTATCCAAGTGGCGGTGGGGGCGAACGTAGCAGCAGTCCCGCCGGGGAGATAATTCATAGCAGAGTGCAGCGGCGTGAACAGGCCGAGCACGCAACGAACGAAGAAGAAGAACGAGAAGAGCAGGCACAGCAGCAGGGCACCGGTCGCTCAGCGGAAGATGGCGACCAAGACAACAACAACAAGGACGGAGGCAAACTGGCGGGGCCGATGAACGCCGTCGTTGCCGCATCCGTGGCCGCCCGCCGCGCCAGGGATTCGTGGGACGCCCGGGGACGGACAGAGACGCCGGTGGTTGTCGGTCGACGGCAGCCGTCATACGTGCACGAGTCCAGGCTCCAGTTCAACTTCGACTCCGCTCAAGCACCGTCTTCGGGGATGTCGGGCGTGGGAGTCGCGGTACCTAAGGGATACGCGGACGCAAGGTGATCACACAATGTTGGGGAAGATCACCCGGTACCGACCTTGGGAGCAGGGATGGGGGGGGGGGGCTGAGCGGAGACTCGCCTTCGTCCATTTCGCTATCGTGAGCGCATGAATGGCAGGACAGAGGCGAACATGTTGTACACGTCTTGGTGGTGTGTTTGTGCGTGCGAGTCAATCACTGGGACACATCGCTCTGCCGAAATGCCGACCAATAACATGCAGTAGAACCTCGCGACTCCCCTGCACAACACTGGTAAGAAGGGAGGTCGTCCCCCGCCCTACGCAGCTTGCACGTGTCGTCGGTGAGAGCCAACTTTGTCGGGTCGGTACTTCTGCTTTCCTTTTGCTCCTGTTGTAAAAAGACTCCGGGCGGCCAAACGGAGCTTTACGCCGAGCACATCGCTGACAAAGATAGCTAAGCGTCGATTCATCCCACGGGGCGGGACTTTGAACGAACAAAAAGCCACCCCGGCAGATGCCGCAGCGCAGACGGGGGCCGGAGCAGGACCTGCCGACCGACAGGAAGAGCCGGCGACCGCCGGGAACGTCACGGAGGAGGTTTACCCGACGGGGCTCGTCGTGACTAAGCACTTCCGGGAGTCCTCTACCGGGCGCGAAATCCTGATGCTCGAGGTCGACAAGGTGGGGAGCGAAGGCTTAGGAGCAGACATCGAGCGATCGACTCCAACCCATGTATGCATGCTTTATCCTGCTGTGTCTTTTTCGTTGTGATGCTACAAGAGGATTGCTTGGCACGAAGCCGGAAATAGTTCTGTACAGCACACGACGACGCGGTGAGGGCCATAACCTAGCTACTTCTGCCGACCTTCGCTGACCCTAGGCCGCACCCACGCTACAAAGCCCCCCCCAAACCCTATTCTATTGCCTTCTAGGCAGCAGACCGGCGAAGTCTTTGGGCCGGAGACGCCAGTGCCCTGTCACAACCGTCGACTTTCGGCGGGCGCCAGGGAGCGGCAGCGGGCGAAGGCGTGGGGCTTGACGAAACAGCCACCGCTTCTGCTGAGGCTGCTGCCGCCGCCGCCGCCGCCGCCGCCGCCGCTGCTGCTGCAGAGCTGGCTTCGCTGTCACCCCGCTCGAAGAGGCTGCGAGAGGTCTTCGAAACGCTGGCGGCTGGGCGGGACGTGCTGACGCAAGAGGCCTTGGTGAAGTGGGACTACGTGGCGCGGTCCATAGAACGAGGGCTAGTGTCGCAGTACCAGGTGATATGCGATGCGGTCCACTTCGTCCAACCTGGTAACTAGTGATGACCCCAACAGCCGGGTGGTCACTTTTGTCGGAGGTGTGCCACTAACAGAGTTGATGGCTATCATAGTTTAACAACCACAGTAGCGGCGAGCGCGAACGTGCACCGTACTGGTCACACTCTCTTGCTCGTGACGAGCGAGATGACCTTTGTGTAAATACCTATCGCCCCCGTGCAACATGAAACCTTAGGTGAGGTCTCTCTTTCGCCAAGCTCACGGCGGTCGGCATAGGGGCAAGATGGAATGGCGGGACATAATCGCTTTCTACGAAGGAATGGAGGTGAATGCGTATATACACCGTTAAGAATCAATTGTAAAAATGTTTTGTCTCCTGGAGTGCGAGGACCGTGCACCCTCGTCTGCACTGCTTGCACTTGAAGGCGAAAACCTTGGTTCAAGATTCACTCGTAAGGGCTAGAAAAGAGCGAGAAGCGCCTTCCATGCCCCCAAGAGATACAAGTAGGCCGTGCTGCCTACCCGCCTCCACAAGGCCGACCCCTGTTGCAGGGTTCAGCAGCATTTGTCTCCAATTTCTCTGAGCACCGTCCTTGTTATTCCCTATGTGTGTTGTCGCCGCTTTCTTGGGTCAACGCCATATACCAATAGTCTGCCCTTGACAAGGCCTGCGCCCCGCCCTTGGTGGAGGAGTTCGTCATCGACTCCGTAGAGTGGGACCGCGTGTCAGCCTCGCTGTACCTCACCAAACGCGGCGAGGTATACGTCGTCGCCGTCGAAGCAGGTGCCGGCGGCGGCCACGGCACCCCTCCGTCACCGGCGACGGTCCGACTGGGCGGAGACGGCGACGGAGCCTCTCGTGGCGGCGGGTGCACGCAGGCCGTGGCTGGGTCGGCGTCGGCCACCGTTGCTAACCCGGACGTCCCCGCGCGACTCACGTTGTCTGGCCTTTCCCCCGAGCGGGACTATCTGCTGTACGCATACGGGGAGAACGGGGTCGGCGGCCGGTTGGGGGCCGGGTTCAGGGGCGACGGCTGCCACGGCGGGGACCCCACCACCAGCGGCGTGTTCTCCATGGAGCCGGCTCCATCGGGCATGTCGGCGGCGCTCGTTGCGGCGACGCGGCTAGAAGCCAGGACGGAGCGAGAGCCCGACGAAGAGCTGGACGTCCCCTGGAAGGACCTCTCCGAGTCGGAGCAGATGGCCGAGGCACTGGCGGCGCTGATGGACCCCGTCGTGGCGCGCGCGGCGAGGGAAGCGGCGCTGGACCCGCCGACGGCGGACGACCTGGCGCCGGGGAGGTGCGCGGCAAACCCCGTGTCGAGGAACAAGTGGCGGTCGTTCTGCCGGTGGTGGGCGACGGCCGTGGGCAGCAACGGGGGGGGAGCCGCAGGCGGGGGGGGCACCGAAAGGTCTGCCTTTCTGCTGAGGGAGTGCGTCTTTGCAGCTCAACAGCCGGAGGTGGGTGAGGTGGATTGGATTTCGGGGATTGGGGGGGGGGGGGAGACAAGTGTGCGTCTGCGGTCTGCCAAGAGCACTTCGTTGCTGAATGGCCTACGTATGGCACTAAAGTTTGAAATACGATCAGGAGATATTGAAAATTTGAAGTTATGCTCCGAGAGACACTCACGGGAGCCAAACGTGTTGTCTCGTAGATCTCTCGAGGTCACCTCATCGAAGAGGAACAAGTGCCAGCCCCCTATCTCACGTTCGTATAAAACCGCAGATTCTGGAAGAAGCCGCCATGATGGGGGTTCAGATTCTGGAAGGTGACTGGAACGCCGAGGTTGAGGTGGCGGCGGCAAGCGGGGGGAGAGCCAACCCGAACAAGAACCCCTCCGCTCGGAAACGCCGCTGGACCGCGTTCCGATCCTGGTACCGGGGAGGGCGGGTGTTCGACAGGGCCGACGAGACGCTAATCACCGCCGCCATGCTGCGCCGGCCGCCGTCCCCGGGGTCGCAGGGCCGCCCCCTCACCCCGCGCCTGACGCCCGCCGATGGCCCTCGTCCCGCCGCTCCGACCACATTCGGAGAGGAAGAAGTCTCCGCTGCACCGGCGAAGGTGGTGGACAAGAGCGGCGACGGAAACGAGCAAGGAAAAATGGCCGCCGCCGCCGCCTCCCGGGAATCCACCGACGGCGCGCGAGCCGAGGTAGAAAAGACAGCGGCGGCGGCGGACAAGGGTACGGTACCGGGGCACGTTACACCAAAAGCGGGAATCATGCGCGGGCGAACGACCACGCCGCCGGTGCCGCCAGAACCACCGGGAGGAGAAGAAGCAGGGTCGACGTTGCACGTGACGCTGCTGAAAACCGACCAGTCAAAGCGAGCACGGACGTCCAGCAGGGACGATGCGGCTGCTGCCGCCGACGGCCCCCAAGAGGACGGGCGTGCCGCGACGGAGGTCCTCCGGGAACAACAAGACCGTGGCATTGACACCGCTCGCCTGGCGGGCATTGCCGGATGGGACGCACGAGAAGACGAGGTGAAGGCAGATGAGGAAGCGGCGGGGGCCTTAAGGCTCGAGTTTGGGGGCGACGAAGAGGCTGACGGTCTTGATGGTGGTGGAGCAACAGCCATGCCGACGATGTCGCGCGAGGGTGGGACTGCCGCTGCGAAACGGCTGCGGATGGAGGCCCGCCGAAAGTTTCTGGCGGCGAGAACGGTCACTTCCAAACAGGCGGCAAGCAAGGCGAGAATAGAAACGGTTATTTCTACGCGCAAATCGAAAATTCACTTTCCCTCCAGCTTAACCCCCTCAAGCGCACTCTACCCCCCGCCCCACCCATTTCCCACCCATAAAACATGCTCGCACATCGCAATCTGTAGGATCAGATCCCGTTTGCACACGCCCCGTCCCCCGGCGAATCTTCCCTCAATACATCTCCGTCCATGCAAAGCCGAACCGAAAACCTTACTTGGGCATCCTCCCGAATCAACTATTTCTATCGGAAGTGTAGGTCGGCCGGCTTCTGGACGTGAAGCGGGAGGACGTCAAGGCGAAGCGGGTGGCGGAGGCCGCCTCGGGGGTGGTCGCGCGCCGCGGGAGGGCGGCGGCGGCGGCGAAGAAGCGACGGCGCAGCCAGGTGGAGAAGGCCCTCGCGCTCAAGAAGGCTGATGAGCTCCTGGAGGAGTCCGGAAAAGCCGAAGACATTAGGCAGCGGCGGGGGTCGCTGGGAACGCTGCGACCCGAAGACGTGAGTGGGTGGGGAGAGAGAGAGAGAGAGAGAGAGAGAGAGAGAGAGAGAGAGAGTCGCGTAGATGGCCGCCAACGGCTAGAAAGCGGGGGAAATAGCGGGGGGGAAATATGATTGTGGAGGGGAGGAGGCGAAGCAGCTATGCCTTTGATCTCTGGGCAAGGGAGACGGGCAGAGGTCTTGTGTGTGTGCTTGGCTCGGTGGTTTTGATCATTTTCTGCACCGGCGGAGGGCGGTGGTGGCGGGGTTTTGTTCGGAGGTTGAGATCGAAGAGACGCCAGGAGTGTTTCCTATCTGTCCACATTGAGAGAAGTGTACAACGGATAGAGGTTGACAAACGATGACGGAAGGGCACGGACAGCCACGAGTGAGAATGCTAGAGTTGGGATGAAAAAAATCGGCTGATGCTTTGTTGCCTGTCAGCCTGATCCTCGCCCGTTCCCCGTGAACAAGGTTTTCGAGAACGGACGTTCGACGGCGTCGACGACCGGCGGCCTCGTCCCAAACGCCTTCGAGGGAGAAATATGTTCCTAGAAGTCACAATCATTGGCATGAAAAATACCTCGGCAGCCGCCAGGGCGGCCCCTAGTAAATTGTCGTTGAAAAACGGCCTCTCAAACTGCACAAAAATGAAGTAGATAAACAATGGCTTGGTTCCGCTCATTCTGATGCTGCCCTCAATGGGATCGTCCGCTATGAAAGCCAGGGTATGATACCCCGATGCCAAGATAGAGCTGTCGGCGTGCCCCACCGGCAACCGCCCGGCCGGGCAGCGACACAACCGGGTGGTCGGGTACAAGATAGCAGGACCCGTTTACGTCGCGTTCCAGCGCCTGTCAAGCTCCCCATCCGTCGATGCCCTATACCCCCCCCGGTGGAATGAGAATGCAGTTATGGCACCCCCCAAGCGGTTTGAACGAGCTTCAGAGACGAACGGTGCTCCGTTTCAGCGGAACGAGAGTGAGGAGCGCACGAGCACCCATTCGGCCGCCTTCCCCCCTAGCCAACCGCCCCCCGTGGCCCAGCTGGCCATACTTGACGTCTGATCCCTACCGGTTGCAAGTACCGACCTCGTCCGCTTTGGTATCTCCCTTTCTCAGATCGTAACAATCGAACTTGGTGTGTTTTCGTTCACCACGCCGTTTGTTGCTTGCTTCGCTGGGAACAACGAAAATGACGACTTCAGGTGGCAGCCATAGGCGTTTTCGACCGCTTCGACATGGAGCAGTTCGACCCGGAAGAAGTCGACCCTGAACTATTTCGTCGCCGTTCGTCGGCAACGTCAGGGGTAAGCGAGACACATACTACAGGGCGCTTGCACCTGTCACTTATCGCTGATGGAGTCGAAGATATGATTGTAACGCGTGCTTTGATTGTCGAGTTCGGAAGACGGACAAGACAACTGCTGTGAACGCAGACACAGCATCAACGGCGACTGCGGCTGCTTGCCCAACAGCGTTGCTCCACCCAACTTTTTATGTGTATATCCTCCCTCTCCCACAAACTAGGCATGCCATAGCGCAGGTTAGGCTATCCTTTGGGGCATTTGATCATCCGAGTGTAACGGTTTGGATGGCAAATGCGTACTTAGATTTCGTAGAAATATATGACGGACGATGATGGCGAAGATCAAGCAACCAGGTTATCACTATCTTGCAGGAGTTCCGCCAGGTTTGTTGCTTGATCCCTGGTTGCCGCACCTTTTCAGGCAATGGGGAGGTGGGATGGCAACGTTAGATCACTCCCCCGGTTGTTCTCCAGCGGTATGTTTCTCCCTCTCGCTACAACATCTCTCTCAACGCGCGTCGTCTCACTCCTTCAGCTCACCAAACCAAATTATCTCGTTGGGCAGCGGAATGGATCAACAAGGCCTTTCGACAACACACCGCCACACATTCCTCCCTTGCCCCCCCCTCTCTCCCATTTTCTCTTGTTTTCCTACACCTCGTAAGGAGGAGAGCCTGAGCGGCAGCCAAAAGGAAGCGGCCGCGTGGGAGCCTCGCTCCCCTGACGAGCTCAACCTCGAGCTCCAGCTCGCTTGCGTGCAGCCCCGGGTTTGCACCCTGGCGGCGTCGGCACGGATCGGCGTCCCCGACCCTGAAGACGCGTCGTCCACGCTTCCAAACAAGAAACTTAGGTTCGTTGGTGTCACTTTCTTCTATGTAAATTGAGATAATATTCATCCGTCTATTTGCCCGGATCACCACGGAGTCCGAGGAAACGGATATATACATTTTCGGCACCGACAAAGGTGAAAGTTATCACACGTCGAAGCTCAAAGCTCGACTTCTCCTAAGACGGGGGTGCGAAAATCGAGCGATGCGCGCGAGGACAGCTCTCGGCGAAAATATTTCCAATGCTACCCTTTCCGGCATCGAAACCCTCCTGGTTGAGGAGCAATCGATCTGTGAAAATTGGCCTTGAGGGTGTGTGACGACTACCAGCTTGCTTTCCGGTGCCACTTGCAAGTTAGTCGGTCAAAGTTTCCAAAAGTACAACACAGCAGTTATTCTTCGCAAATTCACCAACAAGGGGTGGTTGTGGAGCTCGCGCTCTTTGTTTAGACCGCCGTCCTCGGACAGGCGGGGAGTGGCTCCATGGTCTCGACTCTGCCCTCACCACTTCGAAGCCAAGGGAAGGCACTCGAGTTCCGATTCGTTCTCTCAAAAAACATCAGCCATGTGCGTATCACAGAACACATGTTGCTAGCTGCACAAGTTCGGAATTTCATTCGACATAGTGCTAAGGTATTCTTGTGTCTTGCGTGTACCCGGATCATTCACTGATAGTATTGGATTTGTTGGGTGGGGCCTGCGTCGTCATGGAGGACCTCGCCTTATCTAGCATTTCCGCGCTGAGCACTCACAGCGTAGTTGCTCAGCACAGAATAACAATATCTTTCAGATGATCAGCAATCACATGAGTTCATGTTGTGAGTGCGGGGTGGGGAGGGATGGTCTCAAATAACTGTCCACCCTCTTCCCGACATTTCGGAGGGGAAAGAACGTAAAAACAAGCGAATGGTGTCGATGCATTCCTCAGCAAGTGATGCATTCCTCAACATGTTTGGAACGAATATCTCATTCGAACTGAATTGCGTACACCTTGCAGCAATTCGCTCGTCGTTGTAGGATTTGTTCGAGCCTGTGGATGGAGTCCAGACAAAGAGACCCACAGACGTCTCTTTTTTTTTCTCGCATCCGCGTAGGTGGGCGAAGTTTTCCGCTTGGTATTGCCTCCCGGACGCGACCCGGATTCCGCCGCAAAGGAAGGCGTTTTTGGACGGGGAGGTGTCGGCGGCGATGAGAGACGAAACCGTCAGGCTGGGTATGGTGCAGGAGGGGATGCTCGTTTCTGCGGAACCGGGCGGTAGCTGCGATGTGTTGGATTTTGTGGTGAGAAATACTCGAAACAAGGGCTCATCAGCTGCCGCTGACCCTTTGCTCAGCCCGTCATTAACATATCACTTGCGTCATCGCGTATTTCCGCTGCAAGAGCCTATCGTGTATGTCTGATTTGGCAGTTTGAGTAGCGCGTCTTTCTCTTCCGTACTGCTCGTCCTGTATCACGGTGCTTTCCTCCCCTTCAACCCCGTGGATCGCGCAGATAAACACCTGCTATCGCCTCCCTGAGGCTCGTGTGATTGCTTGGCGATACTCGAGATTTCAATACAATTCGTTCCCCCGCACAATGTTCCGTCCCCATCCCCCCATCCACGTGCTTCGCCATGCCCCCCAAAAGCGGCCTCACCCCACCCCAACCCTACTTCACCTGTCGAGTTTTTTACCGAGGGCGCACAGAACCCACGCAAGGCGCTTTTTCCCGATGTTTTCGCTCTCAACGCGCCCCCTCTGCGGCACCTCTACCCATGGGCAGGACTGGTACTGTGAGGAAAGCGCCATCCCCCGCCAGGAGTTTCGGAGGCGGCGGGCGGAGGAGCTGCTCCAGTCGAGGAGGCACGTGGCCACGCAGCTGCTGGCCTACGTGCCGACTCCCTTCCTGTTTCGGGAGATCCCTCGGCTGGTCACGCCACCTCCCCCCCCGGTGGTGAGCCTTGAGCGAGACAGTACTCTACGCAGGATTATCTAAGTTGTAGGCAAACATACTGGATGAAGTATACAATCGGCTATGTTGGGGTTGGGGTTAGTGTTAGGGTCTGCGTGCCCCCTCCCTGGTCGTTTTCGTAATAACCTGCGGGGGGCCGATATATTTGTGACTGCGAGTGTGTGTGACACAGATGGTACAATCAAGTCGTTTCTTGGTCTGAATAGGGCCGGTGTGCTGGCGTTACTCATACCGGTATTACGGAGGACCCTCCTCGACCGTATCGCCATACTTGCGGTCAAAAAGACACGCTGTTGTCAGCCCCGCGTGTGCTAACGTAGCCTTCTCCGTGAGAAGAGGGCACTGGGCTAGCTGCCATATGTTCGGAGCGTGTTCATTGACCGAGGGGCATGCACCTCAGTCTCCAGGAAATATCATGGGCCAAATCTGTGTGCGTGGGTTGTTACCCCCGCCGACTTGTCTTTCCTACTACCTGCCCCCCCTGTTCCTCTCCTCCTCATCTCCGCCTCCTTGCACTCGGTCTTCTGCGGGCAACACATTACCTGAAAGGTGGAGCGTTTCCGTTTGTTCCCGTCGCGTTCCCCGGAGGAGTTCTCCTGGGAGGAGGTTGCAAAGTGGTGAGGAGGTGTGTTTGATTGACAGAGAGGCCCGTTCGAGCGCAGAGCAAGGTGTTTTCCTCAAGGTATTCGATTCCTTGTTCGATTCCTTGTAGCAAAAGGCGCTCTTTGGTTGTTGTTGGGGGGGTAAACACGTGCTTGCGGGTGCATGAGTGAGTGGAAACGGATGGTAATAGCAACAGTGGTGCCCCGTGCTCAACGTGCAAAAACAACCAGAAAGTTGCGGCTAGAAGACACGCAAGCCCGTTCTCTTTCGTTGTTGCAGGCATACCAAGGAAGCTCTTGAAGCCGAAGACGAGGCGATGCAGGCCGGGGAGCGCGCCGGACAAAGGGCTGCTCTGCTGGAAGTGGCGAGGGCGGAGGAAGGCCAAAACCAGGTATCTACCAAGTACCCTCACGCATGACGGTAGTCTTCGGACCGTACAGTGAGGTTGATGCTTGGTAAACAGCTACTGCTGTAGTTATTTTCATTCGCTACAGGCGGGGCCCTATTCTATGATCATGGGGCTCTCTTGATGTAGCGTCCACCCACACGATTTCACACCCCGAGTTTCGGAACAAACGCCATCAACGCATGTATATGTTGCGTTCATTTTCGAGATAGCTGGAAACGTTGTGGGTACTCTCCACCCCCGCCATGAGAACAAGAGTGGGGGAGAAAGGAATCGACCCCTCCCCTTCCCTAACGTGCAAAATCGAGATGGGTTGTGTTGTCATGGAGAAACACAAGGAACAAGGCAATCCAACGAACTACACCGGCCGACCGACTACTTCACACGTGATGTTGGCTCGGTGAAAACGCGGTACCGTACCTAAGATATTTACAAACGAATAGAGAGCGTTCGAATGCTGGCGGATTCTGCGTCATAAGTAGGAATGGTGCTCCTCCGTCTCAAAAGGTCTTCCTCGTCAATGGACACGCCACAACAAAGTCAGGGAAACAAGAAATGAGTGAATATCGTCCTCTTGTACATCTTCAGACGACACTTTCTCGTTTGTTGGCCTGTCGGAGGGATAATATTACCATTTCTAGCTCTGTCTTGTCGGACTATCCATGCCCCCGTGGAGAAAAATCGAAGGCTTCCAATCCGGCCGGGGAAGGGGCGGGCAGAATGCAGAACCTCGTGTTACATTCTTGCGGCCAAGCAATGGGAAGAAAGTGCGCTCTTTCACTCCTCCAACCACACAACATCCACCACCCTTGCCAGGGGAACGAGCAGAATGCACCCGAAAACAGGCAGTAATTATTCGTATTTATCCGCGCCTTCCATACACCGGCATCGCTGCACCCGAAAGTACACGCTAAACCACACGTGAGACGCATAAAAAGCCTTCGAGAAAAAAAAATTCCTAGCGAGGCGACAAGCCGCACACACACGCGTTCAGCCTTCTCTTCCAAAGTAATGCTACTACCGCGTTCAACGCTTTTCTTGCTCTCGGATTGCGACTTCCTGCTCCTGCCGCTGCTGGACCCGCCGCGCCCACCGTGCCCGAAAGAGCCTAGAGGAGAGGGTCGCGCGATGGGAAGACTTCAGGTCCGAGCTCATGAGGACCGCGGAGGCCGAGTTGAACAGCGATCCCTTCAGAGTAGGAGAAGGTGGGGCATAGGAGTAAAGGATTCATTACTTCGAGCCTACGATGTGATATTTATTCGGGAAACCACCAGCGGTTCTTGCCGCCAGTCGGATCTTCATTGGGGTAGCCACACCCGTCGGCACTACTCTTACCTCCTCGCACCCGTGCCATAAATTCGTGTGAATGTGCTTTGCTTGAGTTTGTCTTCCGCGCGTCCACCCCTGTCTGACGACGCGCCAGGTCTATTCTGCACTCTGGGCACGTGGCGATTCACACGAATCGAGTACCACGTGTTTCCGTGGATCGCACGAGATTTGTTCAACATGCACCAGCCGCTCTACATCAACCAAACAAACGAAATCCTGCCTTTCTTTCTGTGTGAATGCATTGCACCCCGAAAAGGAGAGTGGCAGTACAGCGCGACCCTGCTGTCGTGGAGGGAGCTCAAGTACCTTGGGTTCGAGGACGGGACGGGCCTGGAGAACAAGGACGAGATTCACGACGCGCTCGAAGTGAGTGCTTCTTTGAGACATAGATGCACGCTGACAGGGAGGGAGGGAGGGAGGGAGGGAGAAGGTCGCGTGGCTTACCTAGCCACGACCCTCCGCCTCACATCGCAACCGACCTGTGACTCCCACACAAGGTTCATTTCCTCTCTTCTGTTGTTGTGAGCGATGTATTGGGTAGGAATACCAAAATGGTAAAGGCAACACTGGAACCCGCCAAATACGAAATCCGCCCATCGCAGTGCCGTTTCCGCAAAACGATATTGGTCGAACATCGATTTAGCGACCAGAATCTTCGTAGCATGCCTCTTATTTGTGTGTTTTCGGATTATGATTTCAGTGTGCCTTGTGAATGTTCCCGTGGGGAGCAGTCCCGCCCCGTGCTCCCATGCTAAGAAACAGGGCCACGGACGGTTCAAAAAGGGTTTCGGTTCGTTCTGAGGCCGAGGATCGGTTTAAAGACAGGGCTATATTTGCTCTTTTACCAAGTTCTGCGTAGGTTTTTACCCCACCTCGGGCCGAGGAGATGTAGGGCCTTATAAGAGAGACATGCCGAAGAAAAGCTTGTTATTGTCTACGGTCTAGAGAGGGACACGGCAAACTTCAAAGAAGGGCGCCCCGCGAATGATGGGGGCCTAGGGGCACCGTAGATGTCTTCAGATCCCTATCCGACAATGCCTGTGACCACCGCCGACCGGAATAGTAACTTTGAATCGCGGATTTCACTTACTGCACTTGCAATGCTCCTACCTTACCAATGCCATCACAAGGGCGTCTACCCCAAGTTCCTTGTGGTCTCTCCACATGCCGTGGGAGTATATCGGGCCATGCTCAACCACACCGTGTTCCGCCTTCATTTCACAGAGTTACACGGCGTGTGAAATACACCCGGTTTCACGGTTTCTAGTCTCATGCCTACCCAACACGTGGCTTCAAATGTCATGTTAACCATATGACCCTCAGCATGTATGTGAAAGCTCCAAAACAGCAACGATGCCAACAGCTGCAATGGCGACGACAGCAACAACAACGATAGCAACAACGACAGCAACACAAACGCAAACACCTCGCAGATCGCTCGGAAGGAGGCTCAGGAGGAGAGAGAGCGCGTTGCAGAGGTTCGCCGCCAGCGGGAGATCGCGAGGCAAACCAGGTACAGGAGACGACGCAATGGGTCGAAGAGATATCCTTGTGGATGCCTGCCAACCAAAACGCCTTGGCAAGCTCACTGGTGGTACCCCTCTCCCAGAAAACGAAGACCGCCCTCGCCCGCTCGCCTCTGCTTTGGTACTCTAAGGATACGAGTATTGCATCCCGAGATCATGTTGTACTTCAGGCGGTTGGCCTTAGGTCGTATCGAACGTTTGGCAAGTGAGGCACTCAGTACCAGGAATAGCGGCATGGGCCGTGATACACGGCCTAAGTCGGAGTAAGACTTCGGTCTCGTCTTGAAAAGGTAGGGTCGCGTGTTGGTCCTCCTCGGAAGGGCGGCCAAACCGCTTTGGTAGTGAAAAAAATACAAGTTGGACACCGAAGTGAACGCTCCCCCGGCTCCTCCCATAGTAACGGCGCATTGTTGCTGCCCCCCTGGCCATTGCGCGAAGGCACCCCCCCCCGCCCTTTGTGTAGACGCATACATACATAGGGTAGCGGGGAAAATGCACCGGACATTGAAACGACCCACCGCGAGTGGGTGGAACTTTCAAGAGATGTCTTTCCTGCCAGATGCGTGATCAGTGATTCAAACGCAATGGACCACTGTCGCCACCCCCTTCCCTCCTTCGCATTTCTTTTACTCGATACACGGTGTCAATAAAAGTCACGCACCCTCTCGTGCCGCCCGTGAACGCATCCGTCGTGCAACAACAAAACAAAGAACAGGCTGGAAGAGGAAAGGCGCAGACGGGAAGAAGAAGAGCGTCTGCGGTGGATGCGCGAGACCAAGGAGAGGAGGCGACTCGTCCAGCAGCACATGGCCAACCTCAAGCGGCAGCGGGCGCTGGAGGCAGAGAGGAACGCAATGGCCGAAGAGGAAGCGCTGGCGCTCGCCGTCATGCGTGAAGAGAAGAGGTGCATGTGTGGGGTGCGGGCGTTGGTATGCTCGAACTGTGTGCGGATGTTGGCCGGCGTAATATTTAACCGCGCTGTTTCGTTAGCAAATGACAATACACACCGATCTCAGTGGGAAGATACGCTTGCTAATCGGTGTGCGTATAAGTACGGAATCGTTGCGTTTTTGGTGTGATAACCGCGCGCTAACCACATGAACGACATGGACAGATGTCGGCCTCGAAAACCCACAGGCTCTGTTTATCGTGAGTGTATATCGGTGAACTAGTCGTTGGTTTCATGCTCTTGTGAGCATTGACGGCCGAGGTTGGTGAAAGAAAAAATAGCGCGTCGGTTTGGGCTGCAAAATGCTTGTTTGGGCTCGTATATTTCGCCTTTCTTACCAAAAGACGTACGTGGTTCGTTACACCAGCCAGCCCATCAAAAGAAACACATATAATTGTCCTTGCCGATGCAAACGTCATACGGGTGGCCCAGGTCGGCTGATCAGTTCTGTTCCGCCTCCTGCCCGGCATGGCAGCGGCGGCGGACAGCGGGGAATCCAACAAGCGGAAAAGACCAACCCCGGCAGATATAATCCAGATTCCCATGGTTCAATAAAAACAGAAAAGTTTCCCACGCGTAAACACACACGCACATGTGTGTAGCTCTGATGAAGAGTCCTAACCCCCGCCTGACGGGCATGTACTACTGCTACCGCGGGTGACTTTGTTTCCTGCTTAGGTTTCTGCAGGAACAACAAGCCAAAGAAGACGCCAAGGCCAAAGAATGCCGACTTCTCAAGATGGCGGCGGCCGCGGTGGCGTCGATGGAGGAGGAGGTCAGGAGGCGACTCGAAGCCGAAATGGAGGCCATGGCCCTCGAGGACAACCGCTCTCGGCAGGCACGTCGTATGCCACGGTGCAGGGGGTGCGGGTGTGGAATTCATAGCCATGCATGCCGTAAACACCGAAAGCCTCACGTCCGTCCACGGTCGGGATCGTCTAGGGCGGGGGTAGAACACCTCATTTCGACAATGGGGCGGGGGTTACTTATGTCCTTCCCGTATACTGTTGTATGGTATGGTCGTCGAATGTGGGGGTGCTTGCCGCCGAGGCACTGACACCGGCGGGACGGAGCTAGCGCTTGCCGGGTTTTGGTCGACAACCAAATGCTTCGCCATTTACGTACCTCGTACGTTTTTCCGAGGCAAGCTCCTACTATAACAGAGACTGCGAACGTTTCGGTTCAGGGTCGGGTGTGAGTTCTCACCGAAATAAAAGCAATTGGGACTTTTTCTTAAGTGGTGGCGAGCTCTGTAGGCAGGAATTGATTGGCACCGAGCGCGGACGCACTCGGCGACTATCTCACGGAAGAGAGACCAAACTGCTCTCTCCTCGAGGCGGGAGGGAGGTGCAGCCGTGCGAGTCCCGGTAGACAAAGCGAAAACGCTCAGTCAACCACGGCGCGATACGTGTGTACCACAGCCAACGGTCCAAAACAAAGACGGCTAGCTAACGGCGCCCCCCCCTCTCTGTCTCCGACTACGGCATGCACGACTATGAGTACCCCCCCCCCCTCTCTGTCTCAAACGACTACGGCATGCACGACTATGAGTTCACCCCCCCCCCCCCCCCCCCCTTTTTCCCCCTGGGGGGGGGGGCCCCAAAAAAAGGGGGAAAAA